TTTACTATAAATATCTTATAAAACACAGACAGCAAACTTAAATAAGCACATTTTGGTGCCACTGCTTACTTCATTCCAAACTTGACTTTCTTCTTTTCCACCATGAGATCACAGATATACTTGATAGACATGGTTTTTAGTAAATTAATGTCATGACCTCGAAATCGGTCAAATGTATCCACTCCTGTGCCTCCTCCACGGTCTACTGCCTCTTCTTGGGGTCTATCTGGAGCTGCAGTAACAAGATCAATCATGCACTCAGAAACAACCAATCAGAACACTAATATACCCTCATTATTTGAGAGCATCATGTTTCTAGATGTTTTTGCACAAGAGTTCATTACCTTTACCTGAAAAGAGGAAATCTAGGCCAGTGCGTCCAAACATTTCTGCACCACTTGCCAGTGTGGCTGAACGACAAATATGCTAAAATAGATTCACATATTGTATAATATGGTGCATGAACAATAACCTTCCAACTTTTTTTGATAAAATAAGAGATCAGATAATTTTTTACATGCATTATATTGAAAACAATTTTAAAATAACATGTTATAATCTTTGCACCAGTTGAAGTAGGATGACTATAAATAAATTATCCAGAACTAGTAAACTGACTATTGCAATCCTGATTGTATAAATGTCCAGTCATCTCACCTTTCCCTCGTACAGTATGACAGGCACAGCAAAACGAGATCGACATCTCGCGTAACGAGCTTGTTTGATGAGTTCTCGCATTCTGGGAATATCATACATACTCTGAACACTGTAAAAAAAAAAGTCTTATATCAAAATTATTTTTACCAAAAAAAAAAAAAGAGTTGCACTGATGAGACCAGATATGTACACCCACCGGGCCACTGGGGCACAGTCTTAGCAGGCATATCACTTAGCATCCAAAGATGCACCACTTCTACAAAGTTTGTAAAACCCCTTGAGATAAGGAGGACAATTATCTTAACACTAAACCTAACATGGCTTCTACACGTTGATGGACAAACAGCTAAACATTGTGATAATTGTATATCCCAGCCCCTACATCTTTATTGTCTGGAAGGGGTATATATGTATTAATTACATACTGTGCACTAAATATCAAAGATTTTATCCTAATTACCATTAAAAAAAATTAACAATTACTTATATCATCCAGGTACTTTAATATATGAAAACAACATAAACTTATGTTTGAATGTATTTATGTAATTAAACTCGAATGCCCGTATTTTAAAAATTCTTTATGATGCAAATTTTAAACATTAACATTTCCGTTTCCCTGAAGTTTGTATCAGTGACATATCGTGATATCCTATGTTTTATGAAAATCATTTCATAAGTTTTCCTTATTATTGACAAAGTTTCAATGTTAATATCCTTCCTGGATAATGTGACTTATTGTATTTGTCAGCTAAATCAACAACTGACACGTTATTAGTTGTTTCTGAGTTTAGCCTTAGAAGTTTCAATATCAATTTCTATGAACATCAGAAACATTAATATTTATTTTTAACAATTTCTTATTAAATATCTGATACTAATACCTTAATTACCAAACTTATAATTATGTATCATATCCTTTAAAAAAAACCTACTTATCAAAACCAAGTTTTAAAAAAAGAGTCCATCTGTGTGGATCCATTTTTATAAAACAATCCACATCTCCTGTCAGCTCCCTATATATACATGTATATATATGACTTCAATGTATAAAAATACACCAGAATCAGGAACATCATACATGAAGCATATCATTTTACTTTCATAAGAAATCATATCCTTGTGATCAAAGGAATACATATTTATCTGAATCATGTTAGTAATAATTTTACAAAAAAAGAAAGTAAAAAATGAATGTCAGAAGTTTTAATACGTGTAGGTATCAGAAGAATTCAAGTTTTACAGATAAGCCCACTTTGGAGTAAGTAATATGTCTGGGGATACTTGTACACTCAGTTGATAGAGTCTAACAAAACCAGTGAATGAGAATCACTGCTGGGAAATTTTTATCAATCTGAAAATTCTCTAAAAAACACTTCAGTATATCAAAGACAATTCTGTAGAACATGATTATAGCAAATATGCTTATTATAATAATGAATTAATGCTTATAACGAAGTGTTTTCATTCCCCATGACTTTAAAACGTATTGTGGTCTAATGGATATAATGAATTAAATTTGTTCATCTATGGCACTTCCCTACTGTAGATAATGCAGAAATGGCATTATACCCTGTATCTCCAGAGACATAAAAAGAATAAAAAATGCATCAAAATAACATCATGCAGTCATTATACACAAGTCTAATACAGATCATTCAATGAGAAATAATGGAAGTCCTCTGGAATTCTTGGTACTTGCAGCCAGATACATTTCTGCATAGATTTCTGATAGGATATGAAAATTTCTCAACACATGGACTTATATCATTGATTGATTATTGAGGGAATTTCATTTATTTTTTAGTATTAAAAATTTATTAGCACATGTACTCATTTTCCACATTTGGATAACTATCATTGCCAATACTTCTGATATAAAAAAGGGATCTATTATATTTTGACAATTGAAGGAAGTGTTGATTTGTCGTATAAGCCATTATGAAAACATCAAATTTCCACACATACACAACTTAACCATCCTAATGAAGGAATGCTGCATTTGGGATATGTATAAAAATTTCAGAGCTTAAAAACTGCACTTTATCACAATCCAAAAGGCACTTTCAATTCTTTTTATCATTATTACTGGTGGAAGCACAGAACAAAAGTGTAATTAAGTTATATTCTACTCAGCAAATAATATTTTGCTATATTTTGATTTAATCTATACAATGTACATAATAATTATGATTATATAGTCTATCTATAATCACTATATATCTATGCAGAACCAGATAGTTTATAAATCTGTATATTTCCTGGTTTTGAAGGTATATTAACCAGAGGGACAATGTGTGTGCAGTGATGACTGTGACATCACAAATGATATGTCAAATAACATAGCCAGTAAGCAATGGCTGCAGGGACAGTTAAGAGTCAGTTAAGCAACTTCTCAGGAAAAATGTTTTGCTTACAGTCTATCAGAGGATGGTTATTACACATACTGAAGGAAAACGATGTCTTATGTACTAGAAAAGAAAAATTCAAACACTAATATACCTTGTAAACTGGAATTTTGAACCTAATATCTGTGACAGCAGTTTTTCTCATGAAAATACATTGTATTTTCATTTTGCAGCCATCAGTGTCTCTTCTGTTTTTCCAAAACCAGATGTAATACCACAGTTATGGACTTTTTAGGTGGTCAATATCAATCATATTAACCAACCACCTAATATGTCAATTATTGTATATTATTTCACATACTAATGCCTATGGACTACGGAATGAACTTTCTGCTACATTACTTACTCGTCGTATCTTTTCTTATTGTTTCTTTCATCTTCTGACAGTTGGTACTCCAGAAAAACAACTTTACTAGGATAATGACCACACAGCTCACCACTAAAATTTTTAATTACCTGTAAATCAGAATGAATAACGTTTTATACTTAATGTGAACACCCATGATAGGTAATATTTTTAAGAGCACCTTGTACTTGCATTATGTAACTATAAAGCAATTTGTATATATATAATTACTATATAAAGAAACTTAAGCAAAAACTGAATTAAGCTGAATTTGACTGAATGCTGGGAGGTACTTAACTTGTCTAACACTTGAATATTAAATAATACTTATAGCTACAACTGTATGATCCTACGAACTGATGAATAATGTTTGTTAACAAATAATATAAACTCAATTATTACCGAATATCGATAGTCCTTTGAAAATAAAACAAGGCATCTTTCCATGATGAACTCACCCTGTAAAATAAATTATTAATATAAAAAGACAAAACAAAAACAACACAAAAATATAATATTAGTAGATGACAACTACACGTGTACAAGTTCTCAGCAAATTATCCATTTGAATTGTTGAAATTGTACTTTTATCAAAATCATTTTATCAAAACCATACTTCATAGGCCATTTTATTATATGTCATATCACCGTAATTTTAGGGTCCTCTAGGAGACACCAGTCCTGACTTTTGAATGCGAATTGAATCAGGAACATACATCAGATATATCAAAGAAATATAAAAATACCTCAATGTCGCCATCTTTCACTTTATGCGCGGTTTTCACACAGTGTTCTAATAGATTATGAATATCCTCTGGTTTAATTTCGTCTGAAGACGGCACACTCATTCTTAAAAGACTTTTACACTCCGAAATCTTTACGAAAGCGTGTTTGTTATTGACAGGTCCTCCATGTTGCAACGATCACACGACTGTAAACTGGTGAAAGAGCACCAGATAACACAAAAGAGTTCCGCACAACGGAGATAACTTCGTCTGCTTGTCGGCCTAGGAAAACGAAAGGACAGACCGCGAAGTATCAACTCATGAATAAAATGACTGTGGTAAATTCGTTGAAAAGAGTTGTTTGTGGTATTTCTGGAGGAGTTGACAGTGCCGTGTCAGCATACATACTTAAACAGAAAGGCATGTATGGATATTTTGTTGATAAATCCATAGCACATCATCCACTTGTACTACTAGCATTAATGATGAGGCCCATGAAACTATAGCTGAAAAAAATTAAACCTCAGCCTGATATTGTGCAACTGATATGACACGTACATTATGAAAATTCACACTTAATTTATTAATCTTAACATTTTATTTAACTGGCCGGGATAAAATGCAATGGACCTGTGAAACCAAGATTAGAACCTGGGCCCTCTGAATCACTTAGTTAGGTGCTCTACCAGCTTCATCCACCAGCGATCCAACCCGACTGACCACCACATTCCTCCCTCCTTAAAGGTTTTTCCCGGCCTCTAAGACACCAACCCAGGCTCTTCTTTAGATCTAGTTAGAATAATCTAACGATAGAACGTTCTATCTAGCTCTTCTTTGGCAGATCTTTCACCTTGTCATTTCTAGGGCATGGCATGGCACGGCACAGCACCAAATATAACTGGTGAGGAGAAAAATGCAATGGACCAAACCTTTATTAGAACCTGGAGCCCCTGAATCACTAGTCAGATGTTCCAACCAACTGAGCTATGTGGCCACCGGCAATCAAACCGGCCTCAGATTGCCACATTAAATTTTATTTGTAAAATTTGCAGTAGATATAAACTGATATAGATAAATGGATTGCAGTGATTTATATAATTTTTATCTTTGATAGGTTATGAAGTAATAGGGCTGTTTATGAAAAACTGGGATGAGAAAGATGAAAGTGGACAGTGTTCCTCAGACTGTGACAAAGATGATGCCAAGTTTGTTTGTCAACATATTGGGATCCCATTCCATGAAGTGAATTTTGTTAAAGAATATTGGAATGACGTTTTTAGGTACAGAGAGTGAACGGTTAATCTAATTGTTTCCAGTATTTACACTAGTGAGACATACATGTATGCTTCAACATTATAATTTCTATTAAAGCTTAGAATTTTTTAAAGTACTTGTATCTGTTTAAATTGAAATATTTCATAATTATGTACATTGAAGTAGGGTTTGATTTCTTCTTTCAAGTCCATTCCTTAGAGAATACCAAAGTGGCAGTGTGCCAAATCCTGATATTGTGTGTAACAGACTGATCAAGTTTGGTGTGTTTCTGAGGTATGCCCAGACACAGTTCTCTGCTGATGCTATTGCCACTGGACATTATGCTAGGACTTCAGTGGGAGAAAATCTATCATCAAGAGATTCTAATCATGGTACTAAAATACTGAATATGAATGTAATTAGGGCCCCGCAAGGATTTGCGGGTGCCCTATAGTAATCACTCTGTCTGTCTGTCCGTCTGTCTGTCCGTCTGTCATTCTTCCGTCCACAAATTTTCTGTTTTTTTCTAATAACTTTTTTTGTAGTTGACCAATTAAGTTCAAATTTGGTATGTTGGTTGAAGAGGCAGTAAGACATATTTTGATGCTAAGTGGTTCTCTATGTCATCCAGTTTGGAGCTGGGGTGGTGGGGTAGATTCCTTAACTTTACATTAGAATGAATGCCAGGGCAAAGAGAGATAACTGCTGAGAATGTCCCAATTGTAAACTATGAAAGCTGCAACTAGTCCCATGGGATTAATTAACTTTCCTCTTGAAGAGAATCCAAAGCATTATCTGTTTCTGTCAAATTGAGATTAATTAACACCTCTGTCTGCAAATGAAGTTTGTTTTGAAGTTAAGGTCAATTCTGAATGATGTTTACATTCTCTGAAATGTGGATTTAAATAATGTTCATACTTTATATTGGTAAAATATACAATGAGTTATGATTTTATTGAATTCTAAAAACAAGATATACATAAAGATATGTTTTTTATTTTTTTGTTTTTATTTATTTATTTTATTTATTTATTCATTTTTTTTTGGCTGCCGTATGTAAATTCAAGAATACTATTAATTTTAATGGGTAGTCCAATAATAAACTCATTCTATCATTACTGAAAGAGTTCTTATTGTAAACTTGGAAGAAAAGGATAAGAGAGCAGTACAATTAATCCCTTGGGATTAATTATCTTGTCTTGGGCAGAAAATTTTCCAGGCTTATCTTTATTTGTCACTTTAAGATAAATTAACCTTTGTCTGCAACTGATGTTTGTTTTGAAGTTAAGGTCAAGACTTAGTGATATTTGAAAACACATGCTTTATTCTTGTTTGAATATACATTTAATTGAGTTATTATAGATATGATGTTTTTTACTGCCTTATGTAAATACAGGGATACTCTTTACAGGTTGTTGGATATTTAGGAATTATCTTGAAATTTTATAAATAAACTTGTTATTGCATATTCTTCATATATTTTTAAATTTTTCTAATCAATTAAAATAAGCTGCACTCTTATATTTCTACCCCTCGGCGGGGCCCTTGCTGAGTGGTCAGTTTTCTAGTTTACATAAAATTTCTTCAGTGTTCATTGATGTATTTAAAAGATTTTAAGCTCCAGAGATGAAAGCCATAGTCTTTGAATGAAGTTTGATATATGATATAGCAGTATTTTAACTGTGGATTGCAAGGGCTCGATATATGTATGTGTATTCCTGTTTCTTAATTAAATTTCCAAATGTTTATCTCATACTGACAAAGGAGAAAGAGGTAATAATCAAGGTTATTTCATGATCATTAGTACTGCAGGTAAAATTAGAGTTCTGTTTACTGTATTTTGATGTCCCTTGCAATATTAAAATATATAATGTTATGCTTCTCTGTCAGGTGTGAAGTTATTAAAAGCTATAGATTCTTGGAAGGATCAGACATTTTTCCTGTCACAGATACCCCAGCAGGCTTTACAGAAAGCACTATTTCCACTGGGAGGTTTTCTGAAATCAGAGGTCAAACAGATTGCTACAGAAATAGGTCTACAGAAGATTGCTAGGAAAAAAGAGGTCAGCCTCTCAGCAAGTCATGTGTTTGTATCTTTTACTGTATAAAGTCTGAGGAGGAAACTACCAAACTGCTTCCACACTTCAAGAATATTGATTTAAGGAAATAATTGGTATTTTTTCTATATTTCAGAGTATGGGTATTTGTTTTGTTGGCAAAAGAAAATTTCCTTCATTTATAGGAGAGGTAAGATTTGGTGAAAAAAGGGGAGGACATATATCATGTATATCTTTTCATTGCGTGCCTTCCACTGTCCTGCTTTGGTTTCCATGCAATTTCTAACTTCAGAAGGGTGTGAGTAAGGATGTTCATACATTGTAGTATTTGCACCTTGGATGTGTCTGATGAAAAGCCTTCATTGGATTATTTTAGGGTCACAGAATCAAAGGGCATAGCTTTTTATTAATAATACATGTTGGTTTCTGTGCATGCAGTTATTGTGAAGTTTTTAGGTTGGCTTGTTCATATTTGCATCATTTGCATCATAGATGGATAAGAAGAAGAAATGTCTTAGGATTGCTTTTGAGTCATTTGGTCAAAGGACAAAGCTTTTGATGTTAAAAATAGATTTAGTTTTGACTTCTATGCAGTATGTGACATGAGGAGGATTTAAGATGGGAATAGGGATGTTTAAATCTGCATCATGTGTTACAACAGTTGTTCAGAGTATGTACATTTAAATGCTAAAAATAAACAAGATTTTGCATAGAGCAGATGGGCTTGTAGTCTATGCCATCTATAGATACAATTATATTATCTTTTAGCCAAAAAGCAAAATGTCATTTATTAGATAAACTTTATATTAAAATACTTAATCGATTGCAGACTCTCAAATAAAAGTTTAAGGAAATTATAATGGTTTTATTACTTTAATTTATCGTAACTTTCAGTACATTGAGCCAAGACCAGGCAATATTATCAATGTAGAGACTGGAGAAGTGGTGGGGACTCACCATGGTAAGTGTATACATTATACAAAGTAATACAAGATAAAACACTAGTAATATACAGTGTAACAAAACAATTAGGGAAGATATATATTAGTAATAACCTTGATGTATAGTGAAAAATTATTTACTACATAGTTAAATTATCTGCCACTTGATCAGCCCTTTCAGTAATTGAAAGACCATTGTGCGATTTTATATTGCCGATTAATGCTCTTTTCTGAATCAAATTTTGAGGAAATACAAGCTAAATCTATTTTTCTGTTAATTTTCTTTCAAAAATACAAGAAATTTCATCATTTGATATCGGAATCCGTTCCAAATTCCTGGTTATGTATGCTTATTTTTTGTCTAAGAACATCTGATGGTATTGTGATTATATCGGAAAATTATCAGTGGGAAAGGTACATTGTAAGATTCATGTACATGTACGTTGCGTATGACCTTAATATGGTTCTAGAGTAATGTGTTCTCAGTACATAAATAATATTCATGCGTTCATTACTTCAGTGATTTAATTTGTTTTTTACTGCAGGCATTCACAAGTACACTCTGGGACAGAGGCTTATTCATGTTAACCATGGTCGCTTTGGAAAATGTTTTATTGTTGATAAGGACAGCCTTACTCAGGATATAATCATTGTAAGACTTTCATTATAACACACTGATATTGAGGAAACTTAACCATATTAACAACAGTAGAAGACTAAACTTCCTATGATAAGTTTATACTGATAACAACTGGTGTCTAGTGCCTGTCTTTTTTTTTCTAACGGTCCCAAATTTATATATTTAAAAATTGTTATATAAATAAAGTTCAAAGTTTGTAAAGTCATGGAGTTAGAATTATTCCTGTCAAATATGATGGATTTTACTGAAAATTTATTTGGTTTTCTCCTTAGGCCCCAGGAACCAATCACCCAGCATTATTTAATCAGGAGTTCTATACAACATTACCTTATTGGATACACAAAGAACCGATTGGTTTTAGTGAAGGTAAGGACTGTGTTCTAGAGTGTCGATTCCAGCGGACATATCTTCCTGTTACCTGTATAGTAACCAGGTGTGATGAAGACCAAGTAAAAGTGATACTGAGAGAACCCATGCGTGCCATCACCCCGGGACAGTACGCAGTGTTTTACCACGGGGAGGAGTGTCTAGGGAGTGGGGTCATTAACAGGAGGGGCCCATCCCTATATCAGCTTCAACAAAACCAGGAAAGGAAACAAAATCTTAAAGTTTCATAATGTTGGATCAGATTAGAATAAGCTTTTTTATGTATTTGCAGCAGATTACTTTCTATTATTTGACATATCTTTATCTAATGCTTCAAGGCTATTTGAACATGCTCTGTGACATTTTCAATGTAGCTACTGAAGCAGTATAAAACAAGGAAAGACATTTAGATGTTGAATAGGGACCACCTACAAATTCAGTGTAAACTTTTTGGTATTTTTTGATGCAGTATTTACTCTGCCCCAAATAGATGATAATTTTTTATTTTAGTGGAAAGTCAGATTGTCCAATGAACAGTATTCTAAATCCAAAACAAAAGCCATCTATTAGAATTATTTGTAAGTTGGGTTTGTAATTTGCTGTGGGTTTGGTACCCAGCTGTCTTGGACCAAAGGTCTAGAATTAGCAGTGCTTTCCCACACAACAGACGTGAGTGGGGGCATGAGTTTTGTTGAATTTGTATCTGTGCTTTCTCAGAAAGGGCTTGCGATATCAGTCAATGCCTTCATGATGGTGTCCTGAAACAGTTCGGCATTTTAAGTGTCCCACTGACAGACAATAAGGTCCCATTGCTTCCATCATCAAATTTTCTCATAGTAGCTAATTTCTCCTTGGTCTCCATAGGAATCAGCAATTTCTGGACAATCACTTACAAAGACTCTGACCTGCTGTCTCTGGTATAGTTATTTCCTGCAAAAAAAGTGGAATGGGCTGTTCATTTGCAGGTATGGAATTCCCTCATGTACTGGTAAAAGTATATACTCAATGAGTATATACTTTCACTGGCAATCTAAAATCAGTATACACTCTACTCAGGCTTTATATGTTTGGATCTAAATATTGTCACATTGGCTTTTTAATCTTCACTGTTCTTGAAATTGTGGGATCCACTGGATATATTGGAAGGTGGGGAATGTGTACTTGAGAAAATATCGGTTCTTAAATAAGACAGCTTTGAATTGACACTGTTTGAACAACTTTGAAAACATTGTATAATTTGGCAAGGTCCAGAAATTCCAAGTGAAAATACCTATTAAAATACTTTTTTTTTAAATTGTTACAATCCGGTGCCCAAAATAAGAGAAAAAATGGATAAAAGTCAAGTGATACAGTGGTTGTCTTTTGATGATCAAAGATTATAGTAAAATTTTAGGTAAATCCAAAAAATTCATGTCTGCTTGATATGTTCTGTGGGCATATTTTTAAAGGATGGCTGTATTTAGATGGGAAATACGTTAACAATGAAAAAAAATAGTAACAGTTTATATGCATTTCAACAAGCTGGAAAAGTATAACTAAGAAATGTGTTTTGTCTGTAAACATTTTTTTCCCAGTGTTTTTTTTTTTTGTTTTTGGTCATGTGGGTCCACAGTATCATACTACTGAATAAGATACCTCAAATTATTTTTTTATGCCTAAAAATGATTGTTATATATATTGTGGGAAAATGCCTTTCGTTACTTATTTGATCAAAGTATTGGAACCATGGGGACCTTTAAAGTAAAACTGCATTCATTTTCTGTTTCATCCCTTCCAAAAAAAATTTTTTATCATTGATTGTTTATTACAATCGATTGATTGATTGTTTATTGTTTAACGCCGAGTCGGCAATATTTCAGCCATGTTTCGGCGGCTTATTACAATCGAAGTAGATTCCTTAAGGACAAGTACATGTTTTCATAGAAACAGTTGAAAATGCTTACTTTTAATTTCCCAGAATTTGCTTTGAGGCACGAGTGAAAATTTATATAAAAAATCCAGTCTTAATAGTGAAATTCCATATCCAACTACAAAATATTAATTTGTTTGTTTGTTACATTTTCTTTGAATTTGGTTTTTTTTCTTTTTTGTAACGCAATGTCGAACGATGTGACGTCGTAGCTGAGCGGTTGTGTGATGGATGATTGTACATTAAATTAACAGTTGTAGTTTCTTTCTGGGTGGTTTATTTAGCTATTTCCATGAAGGGTAGGAAAATCGAGAGGTATTTTCAGGAGTGAAAATAAGTTTTTTAAAAAAAAAGTTTCCACTATGAAAATATATTTACATCCACTGAATATTTTTCCTTTATTTCTTATAAAAGCCATAGCTGTCAATCAGTCAGTAAACAACACTAAGCAAGCCATCTGCATAGATTTCTTAAACAACGGCTAGCTGTTCCATCAATTATGCATACAGTGACGTACACATCTATAATACAACACTTAACATATTTAATTTACTTCAATTTTTTTTTATAAAGATATAAATATAAACAATAAAATGTCTTTCTTTGTTTGTTAGTACGGGAATTAACGTCGCAGCTTTTGCAGGAAAAAATCACATAACCCGATTACGCGGGTTATGTATTTTTTCTGCAACAGCTGCGACATTAATTTCCGTACTAACAACCAAAGAAAGGGCTTTATTATATTGCATGTATATATTAGAATAGTCACAGTGGAATCTATACTTTTGAAAAGTGGATTCATAAAACTGACTTATTTGACTTTAATTAATGTTTGCATATTTCTCAGATGTATCATGGGTGGCGTATGTATTTTCTGTGTCGGTGTGTGCAGGTATTTGCAGATACGCTTTTGTATTTTATAGAATTTAAGTTCTAAGATTATTTTTTATCTCATCATGTGATCATTATCAAAGAATAAATTTTTTTTTATTTCTCTTCCCTTTTTTTCCCCTTTCTTTTCATTATGTCATATCTGCATTCATAAAATATGTATTGAGTATAATAACAGACTAATGAAATGAAATAAGGAAATTTTAATATATCCATATTAAGAAATAATTGAATTTTTAAGCATGTTATGCAGTAGCTCCTTCAATATGCAGACTTGATTAGGTATAACACCACATGTATATGGAGGGTGATCGTGTTAAAAAATCCAGACTTGTAAGTTTGTAAATCCAAACTTGTAAGTTTGTAAATCCCAACTTGTAATCGTATCAGTTTCATAGTCTACATATGTAAGTAGGTAATTCCGACATCCAGGCATGTAGTTCCGAACATACAACTGTGTTGACTTTGAGTTTATACTATGAATATGTGTATTTTTGATGTTGTAAACTTTGTTTTCCGGAATTTATATTTCCGCGCTCTGAATAAAACACAAAGACAATTGACAAGTCTACATGATTGTCGAATTTTGATTATGAGAAACTATGGAGGGGCATCAGTGCCACATTTTCCCCTTTTTTTTAATTCTTACTTCTTCTTTTTCCAACTGAGATAAATTATTTAGATTTTATTTCTTTTTTTATTCTAACTTCTAATTTTATATTAATATTTTCATTTGAATTTATTTAATTTTAATTCTAACTTTTTGTTTATATGTTCCAATTTTATTTTGTCTTCTTATTTTATTTTATTTAACGATGTGACATGAATCATTACCCGCTTATTCACGGCTTGCACGAATCTAGAGGGGCTTCGGTTATTAAGGTCTCAACCGAAAAAATATTCATGTTAAACGTCTTACATTTTGCCGGCCGGCACTAGGAACTTCGGACAAGCGAACTAGCTCTTACCCTCCAATGGCCTACTAAGCTAGCGCCCAACCACTAGGCTACTGTGATTAGTGCCCCAGTTTATTAAGAACCAATGTAACTGCAATGATATCATATTTAAAAAAAAAAAAAAAAAAAAAAACATTCAGTAGATGAAGATCCGTATCAATGTTTATCCGGGGGGGGGGGGGGGGCTCCAAAAAAATTGACGATGAAAAAAATAAAATAAACTCCTTCTTCGTGGGATGCGATGTATAGGATATCTTTAACTTTTCACCTGCAAAATAAGAGGGATGGGGGGGGGGGGAGTTGGGCATACAGCCTATTAATGAATTTTCATATTAAAACAGCTGCAAAAGATTATTTTCCACACAAAAAAGTTGGGAGCCCAACCTTTCGATCCCTCCTACTTCGGACCTGAGATTTGTTAGTGAAAAAAAATTTCTCTGTCCTACTTTTAAAAAATAATGTGATGACAATATCAATCCAAAGATACCTGATATTTGTGTACCATAAGCGGGCAATCAAAAATGGCGGTCATATTTATCATATTTGAAACATCTTGCACCAGGGCCATAAAACTTAAACGGGCTCATTTTTGATCACATTTACCAAAGGAATTAATAGTATGTAGAAAAGAGAGACTGGGATCAAACGTGAGCTCATCTAAGTTTTATGGCCCCGAACCAGGTCCGTAGGTAGCAAGTGGGGTGAGGGTGCCAGTATATACAAGTACTATACAAATAAAAAAAGCAATTTCTGCTTGTGTCCCAATAATTTTGTCGGTAAATACATAAGAAAAGAAATAAGGCTAATTCATCGTTGTGCCCCCAGGAATGGAATGTTTCATTTGGGGGGGGGGGGGGGGAGCTCATCAAGAAATTTTTGTTTTGTGCCCACTGCTCCACCCCACCCTACGAAAATGCTTCCTACGGGCCTGAAAACGAGAGAAAACACGCAAGAATCAGGGGCGTCGTCAAAGGGGCGGCAAGGGCGGCGGTCGCCGCCCCAATAATTTTGCAAAAAAAAAAAGAAAAAAAAAAAAAAGAGAAAAATGAATTTTAAATGAGAAATACAGAATAGACAATATCTGTGGTCAATGGAGCGGCAAGAATAATGGCAATAATCAGAGGTCAATGGAGCGGCAAAGTGCGAAAACTATGTTTGTTTACAAAGACGCAATTTGGGATGTACGTGACGTTGCGCACGGTATTGGTACACATTGACGTTACGTCAAAATAACGTTATTAAAGTCATAAAGTTGTTACAACGTTTTAAACGTTAATTGCTTAATTTTAGTTGTTTTTTGAATCTTCGTTGAAAATATTAAAATGTACACTAAAAATCTTATAAATAAATTGTAAGATTTTTATTATGAAATTGTCACAGCATACATATCCCCATTCATATCCTTGATTCCTCTTTCTATTTCTTTTTTCTCACTTTGTACTCTCTGTCTTACAAAGAGAAAACACATCAAGTAGCTTTCTCTTTCAACCGTTTCTCCTTCATTTTTTTTCCCCATTAGGTCATTTCAAGTTTTCTATTTCTATCAAGCCCCGCATGCGCCTTGGTTTCTGACAACCAAGATCAGAGAAAAGCACAGAAAATCGGTTATTGTGCGGTTCCAGGAATTTTTGCGGGGGGGGGGGGGTCCAACCAATTAAAAAACATGACTCTCGAAGTTATAACTGAAAATCCCAGGGGGGGGGGGGAGGTCCAGAACCCCCTTCTCTACCTCCCCTGTCTGCCTTTTTTATTGAAACCTTTTAAATTCTGTCATTTAATTCTTTCTATATTTTTCTAATATGTTATATCAGGTAATGTACCTAGCGTTTACAACCTTGATTTTGCGAAGG